TTTCCCTACCTCTCCAAGTTTTCTAACTTTCAAAGTCAAGAAGGTGATATGGATGTCCATCTGTGCTGAGGCACAACTTTCTTCTAAGGACATTCTGCAGCACTTCTATAATGTTTTGCTGTTTATCACAGAGTACTAGGCACTCATCATTTTAAATAATCTGTGCACATCTCTGCATTTGGAGATGAAGAAAGTGCTTGTCAAATACAGTATTTCAAGATTTCCGCAAAGCTGGGCAGTAACTGTTTCTCTGTATCCTCATTTTACCTTTCTAGCTGTTCTGGGATTTCTGGAGGAGGTCTGTGCTCGGCAGAATCTTATCTGTACCATCTTTAATTGCTGCTGTGGAAAATTCAAATCTAAGCATTACTCTACACATATTTTTTCCCACACTACTTTGCTAGTTGTTTAAAAGGTTTCATTTCCTCTCCTGTGCCATAAATTGTCAAGAAATAAAGACAACAGCATTAAACCATCAAATAGCAAGAGATCTCATGATTTTATTTAGCAACACAAACTCTTAGAAAGCCACTCGTACGTTATTTCTATTACCACAAAATAAAATGAAAGTGTATCCAAAAATAACCACATGAATTTTTAAAATAACAAACAGGCAAATACCTCCCAGTGGGCACTTTTTGTGCCAGAACTTCCTTGAAAGCCACCTCAAAGACAGAACACTTTTGGCTAAAAAGTAACCAACCAATCACATTTCCCTGAGTGCATCCATGATTTGTTAATATTTAAAAATAAAGCTGGATATATCAGAAAATGTATTTCCATTTTTATAGTTAAAATTATTTTAGAAATATGTGTATTAAACACTGCCTCAGTGAGAAAGTGAACTCCCACAAAATGTGATCACTTTGGTATCTGGCAGTAGCCACCGCTGCAAGTGCAAATCAGTAAGAAGACTAGCAACAAAAGTTTTTTATACATCACACGCAGATAGTAGTTGGCTCAGTTATGCCAACATTAACCCTGTACCAGGAAAACATACTCATGATATCAGATGTTAAACTTCAAAGCTAACATTTCTTGAGGGGGTTGTCTGGGGAAAGGTTGGGAAAAGAACAAGGAGAAGCTTGAATAGATGCACTGCAACCTGACCATGGGCAAGAACAAAAGAAATTAAATGGCTAGTTCATTTCCCTCCCTCCAATTACTATTAAAAAGAAGATGAAAGAACTGAATAAACTGTCAAGATAGGGAAGAAATACCTGCAAGCTATACCAAGAGAAGAAGATTAATCTCTAATAAGGTCAATAAAAAACAAGTCACCTAGAGAAGTTAAGCATGTGCACCAGAAACCTAGTTTTCAGCAGGGCCACTAAAAAAAATCCACCTAGAAAAATACTTGTACGATCACGTAAAACCAATAATGACAGAGAGAGAAATGGACAGACAGCAAATTGGGTGTTTACTTTGTAATATGGCATCAGAGAGTTTGTGATGCACATCTCTTTCACATTATGATTGAACCCCTGCGCTCTGAAGTGGAATGGACTACCTCTCCTAGCAAACTTGGAGATTTTTCAAATCCGTAAACCAGTGTTTTATTAGAACACATTCTAGAACACTGACGTGTCAAAACACAGAAAGCAGTCTTCTTGGAAGAGAAATTAAAATAAAAAATTCTGGAAGCATATCTAATCCATGGCCTCAGTCTCATTCTCAATGACCACCAAATTCACCTTTTTCCTGGGAGACAAAAAAATTGCACATAATTCCTAGGTCCCAATAAAGGCACCTTCTTTCTGCCACTGAGACTCAACAACTTAAACAAGATACTATTCCATTTCAACTATCTCCATAAAGTGTGACTCTACTCAAGACATAAAATACACTAATCATCATTCTCAGAAGTTCAATTGTCAGTCCTAAATTTATGTTTTCATACTTGCAGTCTGACTGACATACTGTAGTGCATAGCTACAGCTGTTTAAGTTCCTGTTCACAGCTGTGTCCCCTAGCATTTTGCAATCCCCTAACAGCTTGTGGAAGAATGCAACAAACACCCACAGCAAAACTCCAGTTCACAATCCATGTACAAACCTATCATCACCAGCAGGGTAAAATAAGTCACTGGACCACGAATTACAGCATTTGAGCTACAGGCACACATATTCACTTTCTCTGTCAAAGAAGACAGCATCCTTGGCAGGAAGGACAGGTAAACAACTAGGGTACTAGCACCTTAAGCCACTCACACTGTTTGTGAGGTATGCATGACCAGAAGTCCAGTTGATTTAATATTAACAAACCATGACGACAGGGAAGAACACAATGATCACTTAGCTTAAGCTACTTGGCTTACAGAAATGGAAGTTTTGAAAGTTAGTATTAGTTACACTACTCTGAACCTATTTGCTTTGATTGTGTTCTTCTGAAAGCCATTAAGGATCATTTTTCAACACACAAGAGGACTCCAATAATGAAATTTAAGAGATTCTTTTACAGATGTGCAAAGTCTGAATCCACCACAGGATAATGAGCACAGGACTTCACACAAGCAGTTTAAGATAGTAAAAGTGGGAAAACCGTTAGTAAACAAATTATTTAATGTGCATAATTTTGATTTGATCTTTAAAAAATACATTTTTATTTTTTCTTGACCATATTGTTATGATTTGCATGATTACAGCAACCAGGAAAATTAAATTGGAGTAACTCTAAATGCATGGTAACTTTACATGTGGTAATTTGTTCTCCTATCACAGTACAGTTAGACACATGGAGGTTTATATATATAGTGTAAGTGGTTAACAGAGAAATCAGCACTGAAAGTATCTTTGGAAGTGACTATTTAAGGGAGCAGTTTAGCGAAATTACATATTCTCCATGCTTAATCCAAGGTTAACAGGTAAGTAGAAAACAAATATTTTAGTAAAAGCACCAGGTGGAAAGCTTAATTTGAGGGACTTCATTGATGAGAAATAAATGGGCAGAAGTCCTGAAGGGCAGAGACTCTACTGCTGAGGAAGGGGAAATAAAATAGATTCAGGAAGGTACAGCACCACAAAGTTTCAAGTTGTATGCAGAATGACAAAGCTAAACTTTTTAAATTAAAAAGCAAATGAGAAGTTCATATAATACAAGTTCAACAAAATTCACATTACCATAGTACACAAATTGCCTCAAGCTTCAGAAGTAATTGCCTTATTTCAATACATAATAGTAATTCTTCTCTTTTATATTATCACAATAAAGATAATGTGAATTTATGTTTTAATTTCACCCGGAGTGAGAGACTTGCCACACTTTCATAAGATTCTTCAGCACTTTCATGTTTACTTTTTCTGCCTGAAACCCTGAATTCCAAGTACACTTAGAAACCTAGTACTAGGTAAGCTAAAGTGTGCAGTATTTTCATACAATTCAGGAGACTTATATTGCAAGATTTAGGTCTATATTTAATCAGAAGGCACAAGAGACTGGTGGCAAGTGATACAAATAGGATCAAGATTTTTAAACATAAAATTAAAAATGTTCCCTTTTTTCCAGGTATTTTTTAAAACTTGTTGCAAAGAGAATACTCTTAAGCAACTATAAACAGCAAAATAAGAAATTTTAATATACGCATCAGAAATGAAAAAAGAATAGTCCTTTTACTAGATTTCCTGGGACAGAAATGGAAACAGCCTGTGAAAAAAACTAGCTGTAAAAATAAGCTATGCTTTAACTGACAGTTTGTTGAATGCCATTGTATAAGAAACAAGCTTCATCATCACTGTTCAACGTACTCATTAAATACACGGGAATATTTGAGGAGTCTCCAAAGAAAAATTACGGACCAGGGAAACAAAAGGCCACTTCTTTTCCTTCTTGGATATTATACATGCAAAGTTCTTCAGTAACAGATTACTTTGGGGGGCAGGGAGGGTGATGGACAACATAGATGGGCAAGTAGGGCAGAATCTATCAAAAGTAACATCATAAAAATTTTCTTCAAAGGACATCAAGAATTTCTGAAGCAGCTAAGCAAACCCACTCCTTTCTCAATAAAACTTCAGTAAAATTACTAAAAAAAAAAATAAATCTACAGAGTCTCAGTTTAGCCCCTGCTTATTTACACAAAATTGCTTGGTGGTATACATTACAAAGTGAATTAAAGAAGTCTTCCATTTCTCAATCCATATATGAAGTGATTTAGCTCTCCAATATTCAAAATGGGTTTACATTTTAGTTTAAATTTCCTCTGTATGAGACTAATAATAAAAAAATGACATTATCTGTGTTTGATTGTTTACATTAAAACTTTTATTCTTATGAAAAATATCACAAATCTTGTAATAGGATGGCTGTATTAAACTTTTAGAAAGTCATGCTTACCTTTTCTGTTGATATGAACTGAGGCCTATAGTTGTCTCAGTCTGTAAAAGAAAAAAAAAGTTTCAAATTTAAGACACTGACAGCAATATACTTCCTGGGCAGGGCACAGGGGGACGGGACAAAGCAGCAGCTGTAACAAGTTAATAGATCAGATCTTGGAAGACAAAAGAAGTAGTTCCAATCTGAAGCAGAAAATGCAAATTGGCTTTTTCCAATTAATTACTTGAAGAAATCAAGCCTCTACCAAAAGACTGTTTGGCCCTGGACAAGAACTGCAGTCAGTTCCAGTGGTAGGAACTCCTACAAATTGTTAAGACAAGCAGCAACTTAACAACTTAAAAATTGAGAGGAGGAAATTAGTCCAAGAAATTATAACATTGAAGGGAGAAAAAGAAAAACCTAGCACAGAAGAAAGAAACAAATTACAAAGAAAGCATATAAAACAAATAACAGTCAAGCAATTACCTCACTGGTGTAATTTAACAAACTAGAAAACAAAGAAAACTATAATCTCCATTTGATTAGGAAAC